GTGCTGTGTTACCTTGTCAGATAGCCTGGAGAGTTCCAGGGCAAACGGAGGTGTGGAGGGGGAACTGAGAGAGTGCAGGAGAGCTCTCCTGCTCTGATGAGAGGTAGGCAACAATCTTTGCTCTGATGAGAGCTCAGCTGTCCTAACGGGTAACAAACTGGAAATCAGCAGGTGGCTGTAGGCACACACTTGTCTTAAATTTCCTATTTTAAAGGGACTGGGAGTGTCACAATCCCTCTGCGTACAGATAAACTTCACAGGAGGCCTCAGTGTCAGGCATTTCATTCAGGGAGAACAGGCAGAGATTATCTCTAGACTATGGTAGTATGTGCCACAGTAATTTATAACGGCCCTAGGCTAACATAAATGTGTTCCAGTGCTGCTATTAAGAGCCTTTTAATCAACTAGCCTAGAGATAAAACTGGAATAAAAAGAACTTCCTTGCATCAGGCACTGCAGTCAACCGTAACATGTATATTTTGTTCTCTGTGGCAGCTAAACACTCACAAATGAGAGCCAGACAAGCACTTGGAATACGTCCAGAATCATACACGGGAATATCTGAATACAGTCGCCCTCTGGAAATGAGGCACCGAAGGAAGACAGAGCAGTGAAGAACTGCTTCTTCATCTGCACCTATATGACAGGATGCGCTGGGAGTTTGAGATTCACTGCTAGTCTGAACAGCAAAGGCTGCGCTTCTCCAATATCCTGCTATGAAAACGGAGGAGCGCGGACAGAAACCTCCCATACAAGTGCAGAGAAGCAGACACAAGAACATCTTCAATTAATCTAAAGTATGTAGTGAATTACAAAAGAACAGAAAGGTCAATTTTCAAAATAATAAGTAAAGCAGCAGGTTCCCAGATCTCATCGACTGTAACGGAAGTTTTATGCCTGAATTTGCATGTGCTGGGATGAAAACATGCAACACCGAGAAGGGCAGGAAGGTGAGAAATGGAGTAAGAAGGGATGAACAGATAACCTGAAAAGCTGGAAAGCTACCAGGTAGGATTAGACAAGGAGAATTCTGTAGTGCTGATGAGAGGGTGGGCTTGGGGAAGAGACTAGATACTTTCAGAATCTTAGATAAATGCAAAGGGATGCTAACTAAATACAGAGGACCGAATCCTCGGGCTGTTTAAGGCTGTTAAGTGAATGGAGTTCTGTCAGTAGAAAATCAGACTTGCTGCCTTTCTACAACTGGGAAACTGAAAGAAGTCCAGGCAGGACTTCACTAATCCTGGTGTGTCTGACTCATCAGCCTCAAACATGATCAGTCCTAAACAAATATCTGAACTCTTCTGAGAGGTTTCACAGAAATCCCTGAAACATGCAGCGAAGCAGCATACTGCCAGAGGACAAACACTGGCACTGAGATTTCTGTCAAGCAGTCACCGCCAACTCCTAAACAGGGTGGACACTTCAGAAGCCCTAGCTAAATAACCCTTCAATACCTCACAAAACACAGGGATTCCCACCTGGGGATTCTGAAGGAAGGTCTCTCTGTTATCAAAGCATCCCCCGGAGCGATTTAGCAGGGGCTCTGAATTCTTTGCCCAAGCCCCATGCATCATTTTCTTCTCCCAGGTCTTGTGGATACTGAAGTAGGAGGTGTTCACAATCCGGCAGATGTCCACATCAGTGAAATTCTTACACCAGTCCTCAAACGTCATCCTGTTCCATGGGACACCAGGAAAGTCTTGGTTTATTGAAAAATAAACAGTGATACTCACGCAAAGAGCCAAAATAACACACAAAATCTTCCAGTAATTTAAGAGGAGGCATTGCTCAGCTGTCCAGAGGACAAACTGATTCACTGGGAAACTCTCCATGTGGAAACACTTGTGAAGCCACAATTACACTATCTTAGAAATAAATTTAGAGAAATACAACCTCAGTGTGTTTGGTCAGCTCTGGATTTGTTTAGTTGCAGCACTTCAGCCTAAAGGATAGGTTGCATCTACCAGGCTGGATTTGGTAACAGATATTTTGCAAATGCAAAAGAGATTACCTGCATCCAAAGCACCATCTGCTCCTCATTATTACAGTCCTTATTGTTACATCTGTCCCTGAGCGGGACTCAAACCTCTGTGCTCTGGACATCGCTTTTTTTTAGCACCATCTCAATGCTACAACTTGTGCCTGATAAAGTAACAGACGGGATTGCTGAGCAGTTAAAAAAATTTCACCTCCTGTAACAGCTTGGTATCTCTGAACTACCGTCATGTCCCGGCTTATTAATGGTCCAGAACCAAACCCTACAGCTGGTTTCCAGTTGCAACTTCTGACAAAGCCAAGCAAACAGAAGACTTTTCATACAGAGCCCTCCCAGCACACTTGACGCAATATTGATGATCTGCTGAAGAAGTTGCTGGGCTGCCTTGGTGTATCTAAGCTCTAAGCAGAGTCAAAATGTTTAGAGCTCCTAGAGATTCTGTAGAGAATTAACACTTCCTCTTGCCCATGCCGGAGAACACTGTCAAATACCAAAATTCATTGGCTGCAATTGTATTTACAGATACCTCAGCCATGGCTGACCTAGAAATCCTACAGATAAGCACAGTAGTCGGTAAACAGGATTGACAGTGTGTTCAATATTTGGCATTCTGTCATGTAAACCAGCACGTGTTGTCTTGGATTCTGAGTGAATGTCCTAAATATAGATAACAGATTTTGAGGGTGCTTGAAACTTATTTTTACTAAGAGCTACTAATTTTGTTCTAATAGTTTTTAATCTGTTTTTTTCAGTTCTCTGTCATCTCTTGAGAGTTTAAAAGAAACAGACCTTGTGCCAGGACTGGATAATCTTATCCATTTGGGGAAGTTGTTTTCAAAGCTGTTAAATGGCAGAATTAATGACAATTACTCCATGTAGCCAGTATCTCCAAACCCTTCACTCCCACTCACCAGAACTCTCCATCATTCTCAAGAGTGAGTCCCAAGCTCTTACGTTCCGAATTGCTGACTTTCTTCCACTCCTCAGAACTAAAAGGAAAGGGGGAAGAAAAAAAAAAAAGGAGGAAAATAGAACAACAAAAGATGATAAATAACTTAAATACTCCCACCTGAAAAAAAAAATTGGAAGTAAAATTGTCTCATGGTCCCTTGCTATAAAGGTAATATTAGAGTACTGAAAGGACCGATGATATTCAGGAAGGAAGTGTGGGGCTTACAGAAGAAGTTTTAAAACATTAACTACTAAAAAAGAGAGATGAATGTGAAATTGGCACAAGTAGAGCAGAACCTTATTGATTTCCTTTGCCACACCCTCCCTTAGGACACCTAAATAGCTGGTTTGGAAGGTCATATGAGATTGACTCCATTCCCCAAAGGCCGTGGTTTTCCTCTTCAGGACCTTATTGAAGACTTCACTTAGAGCAGAGTATTCTCTTTGTCTTTCAGTCTCCTTAAATGAGGTGTGAGGTCTGAGATTTCCCCAGAGAGCCTTTGAGAAGAAACTGCTGCAGCATGAGCCTGGTGTCCAGCTTCCAGAGCAACACTACACTGCACAGACACTTCTTTCCCGCATTAGCGTGTAACTTACGTGCTCTGCATTGCTCCCTGGAGGAACCTGCCTCTTTCTACTGACTGCAAGGGAGCGCAGGATCCTAAATGCAAGCAGCCTGATGCTTACATCAGACAACATAATGAAAGACACCACGAGCCCCTTCCCTAATGTCTTACATTGGACAAGCAGAGCCACAATTCCTTTGCAAAAGTACTTAGAGGATAAAGTTGAAGGTGGTTGGCAGGAAGGAAAGGAGGTTGCTTGCCATAAGAGACATTTTTTTAACTTATTTGGAAATTCTCAATTTAATTCTCTTAGGCCAAAAACCATGGGCCAAGCTCAGAGTCCTCAGTGCCTCCACTGGAGTGAGCAGCAGCTGGGCCAAGACATGGGCTAGCGGAGAACGATAAGGGTTTAAGTTAAACAAGGCACACTAGATCGTCTGTGCATTCTTTGTATTTCACTTGAACCAAACTCTTTGGAAGGAATAAATTTTTGCCAGCTAAAGTAAGGAAGATAAGAATTTAATATGGTGTTGTTAAGAACATTGCATTATTAAATGCTAACAGTAGCTGGTAAGCACAGTGTTGAACTGAAACATCCTAGCTAAATGTTTTTCAAGTGCAAATTGCCAGTGATGGAATACGTCCCCTCCAGCAATCATGTCTGTCTCTGTAGGGGTGCCTGCTAAGCTCATGGCCCACATTAAAATTAATTAGAAAATAATTCAAGAAATCACAAATGTGTCAATTTTACAGCATTTTTCAACAGTCACTTAAATTATCTTAGAATAGAAGATTCATACCATCCATCCCCAGCAGCTAGCAATTACGGATGAGAAACTGAGTCACAGACAAACTCAGTGGTGAAGCTGGGAAAAAACCTCATGTTCTTCACTCATCACCTTAATTGTAGGCTATTTTTCTACTCATGCTCTGGTGTGCTAGAACAATGATGTATGCAGTAAACTGAGGTCCAGGAGGCCATAACCTCCTGGCTCCCCCAGGATGTGTTCATTTGCTCAGAGAATGCTAAATTTGGGAAGAGATGGCACAAGGGTTCAGCCATCACTGAGTATTGCAGACTGATGTTGTGATTCACCATGTTTAACCATGCATCTAACATCCAGCGGCTCTAATCACAGTTTCATTCCTTTGATACTGGATTTGCACCACTTACTTGTCGCTCCAGGCACCGTTCCACTCTCTTTTTCCCCAGGGATTCCTCAGCCTGATCATAAACAGCTTTTCTGCCTTAAAAGAGAATATGAGCCTTTCTCCAAGGCGCAGCTTCCGAATTGCAGTCACTGAGTAGGCATGACCGATGATGAGACCTGTCTCTGTCTCCACTTCGTTGGCTCTGCCAGAGGAAGCCTTTTGTACCAAGAATGATAAAAAAAAAGAACTCACATAATTGAGGGCACGCGACAGCTACGTGCTCAAGGGGCAGGACGGGGAAGGCTTGTTCTGTTTCACAGAGCTACACGTTCCCTTCCCGAGTGATTTGACAATGCAGGAACACAACAGCACGGGGGCTAAAAACTAGCTGCTTGCTAGTCTGGGCTTTGGCATGATAGCGTCAGACAAGTCCCAGAAGACAGAAGCCCAGAGCACGGGAGAATACTGCCTGCTACAGCCATTCTGTTTACAGAGGTAAATGGGCTGACGGACAACCTTTATCAGCCCTTCCAACATCTTGTCTTCTTTACCAAACGGCTTTTGTGGATACTGATGACCGTGCTGAGACAGAGCACCGTCTGGTGCTGTCCTCAGCTGGACACTGTAGGGCCTGAGGATTTAGCTGGGGAGTCCAACGCCTGTTTCTGTGTTGGGGTAAATTTGATACTGGCAGCGGGTAAAAAGAGAGGGTACAGGCAAGAAAACTTTGTTTGTCAAGCTTGTCCTGTGCCTCACTCGTGACCTGGCAGGCCTTCCTTACGTGGCAACGGGCAGACCTGCAGGCTTTCTTAGGAACTGGGTGTGCTCCCCATAGACTTCACAGCCCCGTTTCCAGCAGTGACCAGGCAGTAACTGTCCTGCTGGATGACCTAGGCCTGAGCAGATGCTGATCTAAGGATACATAAACATTGTCAAACTCTGAAAAAGACCACAGTTTCACTTAATGCATCCAGATCAAAATCTTCTAAATACATCTATAACCAGAAAAGCAGTATCATATAAAGATGCTGGAGCTGCCTTGAACGACTGCCCTTTACAAAGCCAGGACAACACTGCTGCTGCAAAACACACAGGAGGCAGGACAGTGGAAAAAGCCAAGCTGTGGCAGGGCTATAGCCCTTCTTCTGAGCCAGAAACAATCCAAATGGTCATGCCTCTGGATTCATCACACCCTCGCTGGAGCCAGCATGGGCATCTTTGCGCTGAGCCATATCCAGAGTCTCCCTCACCTATACGGAGCTGTAACCCATGGGGGTCTGAGACACTCACTCCCTTGGATCAGTGCAGATCTCTGTGTGTAAATCTGTAATAACCTAATTAAGAGCTCAATAATCATTCCAGCCTTTGTTCTGGTGCAGAGAGATGGATTTATTAGAGTTATGAAATGTACGTAGGACTTTCTCAGATATTTTTATGCATTTCAAAATTTCTCTGGTCTGAACAGACAGGGTCTCCTAAGGCAGGTGCTGCACCGACACAAGTGTTCAGTCCCCAGAGATAAGAAATCAGGGGAAAAAAAAAAAGGAAAAGAAAATTATACATCAAATTGGAACTGACAGATGGTTTGGCAACCGTGAGACTCTCGCCAAGACCTCTTTGCCTTTCACCGACAACCGCTCCTAAAGAATCACCTCGTGTTACACCAAGACTGGCTGACATTTCCAATGGGCTTGGGCTTTCTCCAAGGTAACACTTCCACTTGTGTTTTTCACAACTAAAAGCAAACAAGAGTCCTTGACAGCACGGGAGTCTGTAACCTCTCTTGCTGCCTTTGTTATCCCCCAGGCTTTTCTTAACTGCTGGGCTGCCTTCGCCACCTCATTCTGAAGGCATTTATTTATTTAAGATATTTAAACATCTACTGTCTGTTCAAATTTCTAAATGGTGAAGCTCAAGGCTATTTTGTTACCCAAGGAAAATGATGACATGTTTGTAAGTCAGCAATGAAGCTACTTGAGGATTAAATATTCTATACCTAGCAAGCTTCATTGTGTGGATAATACATCTATCCAAAAGTGACAAATGCAGATGCCAAACCAACAGGAACAGCCCCTGTGTAATCAATTTTTAGCATCTCCATTTTATTTGACGGGCAGAAATATAATACCAGGAAGAAGTGAAGGCATTGCAACTGTCTAATTAATTACTTTAAAAAATACAACTCCTGTAATTAACCTATCTCCTCAACAGATCCACGTTAAGAAACTGAGCTGTCTTGGCATCTGGGAGCAACCCATCATCCCAGAGACAATGTTTATGGCAACAATTCACACCAGGAAGTCTGGTCTGCTAGCCTGGGCTGAGCCAAGCAGATGGAATTCTTCCTAAATAAAAATTCAGACCTTGTGAAAAAGGTAAACCAAACAACAAAGACTGAAGAATTTGTTTCTGAGCTGTTGCCTGGTGTTGCTGAGTTCTCAGGTGCAAATTAATCTCTGAGAAGGTACCATGTGTTCCTCTTTGGTACCATGGCACTGGTGCAGGGCAGTGCATAGCCAGGGCCAGCTGAACAGAGAATGTTCTCAGGCATCGCCAAACATGGCTGATTTTCTGTTGTTTGAGACAACTGCACAGTTATTGTGACACTCACAAGAATTTCTGAATGAACCAACACTTGGAGGTCCACCAGTTTACCCTAGATTTAGCACTTACAGGACAGGTATGAAATAGTTAAGTGCTAGAATAATATGATCTTTATTTCACAGACGTGGAAATTAAAGCAAAGCTTTAAGTGATTTAACTAAGTCCACATATGATTAGCCTTAGCTAAGGTCTTAAATTGGAAGCAGAAGGCATGGGAGTAAGATGCTGAAGTGCACCTATATGCCAACCCTGCAACTTCTAGAGAATGATCCATTACCTGCAGGCTGCACTTTAAAAATCATTTAAAAGCAATCTTTTAGGAAATATTCAGGTGCCATGGCAGTTTGTTAGCCCTCCACGTGCAGTAACAGCCTCAGACAAGGTGAGAATTTCAGGGCTACCCAGTCATCACCTGGCATTGCAGATGTTGATCAAGGCGAGTTAAGCTGCGTTGTCACTGGTTTCTCTCCTATGGCAAGGGGCTGTGCAAGGCCCTTGTCTGTCTGGGGTTTTGAAGCTTATATCACCTTTTGGGAGCTGCTACTCTTCCACCTCCTAACACCTCAAGTGAACGGGGAGAGGTAAAGCTTCCACAGAAGCAACCCTGTATCACCCTTGGGGATGCCATCCCCTCTCTGCCTGGGGAAACCACAGGGTCACAGCCTCCTAACGCAGGCATCTGAGGTGCCTCACATCAGCCAGCGCAGGCAAGTTTTGCTCATTTATTCTAATGGGGAGTCTTACTAACAAACAGTACGACCTGAATAACCAAGCGAGCTGAGCCGTTCAGCCCAGCTCCAGTGTTACACTGACCAGAGGACTGCATCATCACAACCAAAGTCAGGAAGCCTCAGCAGCTCAGTGCCAGCAGAACTGGTTTCCATAAACAGATTTCCCCAAGAAATAAATAAATTAAACACTGCCATCTGGCCTGTAATTTAGGGCATTCTAGGTGGATTAACCTTGGGTCAATACACAACTGTGACCATTCAGAGAGAATAGCATTTTAGATCCACAGTGAAGTGGCAACACAAATGGCTTTGCGGTTTTGCTATTGTATTCACTGGCTCATGGAGTTGTACTTGGCTGACAGCACTGCCAACTTGCTAGCTTTTTCCATACGAAGTTTTTCCAAAGCATACAAATTAAGGACACGCTCAATGTACTTATACTAATAATGGTATTTTTTCCAGATTTTTTTTCATTGAAATTGACTTTTAAAATCCAGCTCTCTATACGTACCGTAATGGAGCAGCTGATCAATCCACCTCTTTTATGCACTTTCAGCAAGTCTTCGAATAGCTTCATCTGCTCAGAAATAATCTCACCGTACTTGCCCTGTACCAAATCAATAGATTCTGCCACTGCTCCAGTGAAATCCACAATTGCATCTGCAGCGCTGCCTCCATCTAGGGCCTCGTAAGATCCAGCCAGCCTGGAGTGACACAGAACATTCTCAGTCACCAAGTGGCTATTAGAAATGCTCTAATTTGGCTTGAATGTAGGTAATATATTTGTGTCTCATGAAGGAAAAAACAGAACAAACCAAACCAGCAGATTGCAGATAAACCTTTGCTGGGTTTCTAGGAAAGGAGTGTAATAATCCTTCAGGCTTTGGGCTGCTGAAGTAGAGTGCATTGCACTCTTTTACGATTCACCTCCTCCATGCAGATTAAAGGAGGAGTTTTCAATCTTTTTTAGGTTCTCTAATAGCAGCAAACCTTAAACCTATGGAAAGTATGATAGAGCTGAAAGACAAAACAATCAGATGGATAGAAGGGACAGCACTGAGGACTAAAAGGACAATGAACTAGCTCGTACTTTGCATAAGCTTTCTCCAGTAATGCGCTCCAGAATTCATTTTTCACATTGGAATGGCAGTAGATCAACTTCCCATCCATTGTTGGCAGCAGATCATCAATAACCACCTCTGTCCATTCTCCAAAGCACCAGAAACGGAAACGGAAAATCCCAGCATATTTCTCTGGGTTTTTAGGGTCCCATTCTTGTTCGTTAAAGTCTGGAATCACCTGAGAAACCATGCAAGGGAAAGTTCACCAAATGCGCTGTGTTCAGATTTATTCAGAGGGCAGTCTGCCCTGGAGCATGCACTAGGCTGGTATTCAGCTTCATGAGCAATTGACCTTAAATAGATGAAGCAGTGAAAAAGAGGGTGAATTTGATACAAAGTCAAATATAGTCCCACTTCAAAGAATCATTCAGGAAAGTAAAACTCAAACTGATCTGCAGAGAAAGACAAACAGAACCTATTGCACTCTCTGGCTTTGCTATGTATTTTCTTTGGTACTCAAGGGGACCGTGGCGTGTGGAGGTCTCATAAAATGAAAAATGAACTTCTAAAGAAAGGGAAGATTTGATTGCACAAAAATCCACCATTCCTCAGAGGCACATTAGTCCTAGAGGGAAAACACTGGCTGACAGGCAGGGAAACAGCCAAGGTTTATCAGCTTTATTTCATGCACCAAGCACACTGATCCCCTACCTGCTGCCAGAGGGTGTCCCTCAGCGCCAAGCAGGAGCACGCAGCCACAAACCAGCAGTTCCCCAGGGTGCCTTGGTGCAAGTCGTGGGAGCTGATTCCATTCACAAACAGGTGGGGGTCTTCACAGAGCTCCTAACAAAGCAAAGCAGAGATTAGTGGAGAATCCACTCCAGAACTGATCACAGCATCCTTCCAGCTATTCCTCTCCACACTTGTTCTGCATCCCATTCCCCCTGAAGTGTGGAGTTCCTGTACCAGGAAGTTCAAAAGCCCTCTGGCACTGAGTATATTTGAAAGTCAGGGTATATGGAATTATTTACGTTCTTACAAGTAGATTGTGTTGCCTTATCTAAACACCATGATTTGTCTTTTTTTTTTTTTTTTTTTTTTTTTACAGAGTTCCTAGTTCTGCCCTCAGCTGAAGGTGATCTTTGAGGACTGGAATTAATTCAACATTGTAAGACTTATTTAGTATTGGGACAGTTAATGAACTGAAAGTAAATGAAAGGAGGAGGATGAAGCATTACAGGGAAAGGCGCTGAAAGGAGCACCTCTAGGTATCACCGAACACAGGAACGCCACAGGGCTCCATTTGCAGCAGTACTGTGTTTGTTACCAAGAAATCCTTGGGAGACTGCGTTCTCCTGAAGGGACACATATGTGACCTCGCAGTCCCAGAGAGAACCTCCCAAGCAACACTTCAGGAAACAGGTAATCTGACTGTACAATTGTTATGGAACCTGCTGGTTTCAACCCAGCGATTGCTCGTGATGCTCTCGAGTGAATCACTGCTTCTCCTGACTGGTCGAGAGTATGGAAGAGCAGACAGCAGTAAGAAATTCTGCTCTTTCACAGTGTAAGAATAACCCTAAATTTCAACACTGTGGGAAGGAAATGATCTTACATCCAGGCATTAGAAATGCAGGATGAATAACCCCCTCTCACCTCAAAGCAGCATGAGACTCCAAATTTACTGCAGACGTTCCTATCAGCAGCAGAATAAGCTGTCCTCCTTACCTCGTGGATTCTCACTGCCCTTTGATAGTTATAGATGACGAACCCCAAATACCAAGATGGCAATGCAAGCCTGGCTACACACCACAGGCATGTCAAAACCTCTGAGTCTTCCCTTTGATGGGACTGTGACAAATCAGTGCCAGCTGAACTTGTTTTCAGAGCAAAGAACCACCTCGGTGCCGAGCTGAAGCCTGTTCTCCTGGGCTGATTTAGCAGATGGCAGCCTCAAGTCAGCTCACGGTACGTAATGCACAGAGCTGCTGCTGTTTTCTTTAAGAAAATTAAATTTTTGTCATGAGATTTTTCTCATTCAGTAACAATTGGTAGAAATTTTACATGCCTCTTGGGAAACAAGTGGCTGATCACTATATGACACTGTTCTTCTGACAGTATTTCTTACACGTGTCTTCACTTAGAGAAATTTCACAGCTTATTAGCAGACTTTAATAAAATTCTGAATAACCAAATGGTGCCTATGAGGAAAACGGACCATGTACGAGATACTCATCTGCATCATGAACAGATTCATTCGCTCTGCCTGGATGCTCTGGTACGGAACGGTAACAGGAGCCTCAGGCTAGCACTGCAGCTGATGCCAACCAACCAGTTGCCTGGTCAAGGGGTTGACATCAGTTGACTACTTGGCCTTGACGGTGGTAGCACACATTCCAAACCCAGCTTGGGTAGACTCAGGTTTCATATCCCATTTCCGTGCATTTCTGTCAGTAATAATTTCCAGTTTGTTTTTCCCTTCGAAATGTTATTTTGTTAGCATAATAAACAAGGGATAAATTGAGCCTTCAGGGTTAAAATTGTCCAAACTTTTCTGGCACTAGAAAAAGCCAAAACTTTAATTGGCTTTGAAAGGAATTAAGTACTACTGTGTTTTACAAATACCTTCTCTTATTTGTTTTGTTTTGCTAAAAATAACCACATTAAACTGTAATTTTTTAATTGAAGTTTATCTCGCATCTCACATAGTCCTCGGAGAAAAAGCAGAGAGCAGCAAGTGTCAACTGCCAAACATATGGATGAGATTAGCATTTGCTGACCACTGGGGTCCAAAGCAAACATGGAACATCAGAACTTAGAAGCATCACCTCCCTGTTTCCACCACAGTCACTAAATTCTTCAGGATCCTGCTTGGTAAACCATTTCTTATTAAACTGTCTAGGGCCCCTGGACTTCCGAGACTAAAGAACAGTGCAACAAAATGACACTAGCTCTGTTTCTCTTGTAATTGACAAGAAGCTATGAAATGGTTTGTACATTGCTCTGTCATGCTTCCCTTAAAAAAAAAAAGTAAAAGAGATAACTGATTAACTACATGCATTAACTTCAGGTTGCTGTGGCTGCTTTAAATTTTACGGTAATTTAGCTCAAGGAAAAAATTCCCCTTAGCTCTGAAGATGCATCTCTTGGCATAAGTATTACCAATATCCTTGAACTAAAAAATATGCAATATTGGCTACAAATAGGGAGAAAGACATTCAAAGGGTTAATTAATTTCCTATGTGTCTTCGCAGACATTAACTGAACCTGGACTGTAAAACATTATGAGAGATCTCTGATGTCTAAGAAAAGGGAAAGATTATTTTTTAACGGATTAGGGTCAGTCAACGGGCTGAGATGGAAAAACAGGGATTCAGGGAAAGGGAAGGAGAAAAAAAGTGATAATGCATCTGAGATTTTCAAAGCATTCAGTAGCACTTAGAGCTTACTTTCTCCAACACCCTTTAAAGAACCCAGCCCTAACATAAAAGAGAATCTACCTTTGCTTGCACACAGGACGTACAGAGACAGGCACCTTCCTTGATTCTGTCACTGATCTACTCAAGCCCAGTGCACCATTCCCTTCAATTTTTTGAAAGCAGTTTGAATTATGCCAGAGCTGAAAATTCTTTCCATTTTCTTCTCTTCTCCTGTCCTCATATCATACTGAGTCAACTCCTGTAGAGTGAGGTAGGGAAGCAAGGGGAAAGGCAATGCCTTCTGAACACGGATGCAAAAATTCAGCTTTGGCTCCAGCTATGACCCAACCTCATCTACAGAAGGTAGCAAAGACAGCACTTCTGTCGAGGTTGTGTAGCTGAAGAGGTAGAAGAGATTGTCTATCCCATAATAAATCCCAGCTGTGCTGGCATGTTTATAGAAACCCTCTCCAGATCAGGCTGCTTGCCAAGGCTGCAATTGAATAAAAAAAAGAAAAATAACCGAGTCCAACTGTGCTAGATACTTCAATGCATGCAAAAAGCCTTTTGCAACCTTGTTATGCCCCCCCCCAAAAAAAAAAAGTGAAAAAAAGAGAAGCCTTAAGTTACAATCATGCTCTGTGGTCCAGCTCTAGCCCCTCAGAGCAACCTCCACCAAAAGAAAAGCAGGGTCAGAAACACCCCTGACTGAAGCAGCCCTGCTGAGATCTGGGAGGGACTTTCTCTCCTCGCTGTCATGCCATGGAAATCAACGAAAGGAAGATTCAGCCCTCGGGTTTCTGTCTGGACACCCTGAGCTCAGGAGGTGTAATTCCTCTCTAAACTTCATGCCCATTGTCCAGCGACAGCAGTTCCTGACAGCAAGATCCAGCCCAATGCTGCTTAAAAAAGAAACCCAACGGCACATACGCAAGGGGAAGAGTATGCCTGTTTGCTCCAGCCTTGTGTAAAAGAAAACTCCGTTATCTGGAGATTGAGAAATGCTTTCCCCCCCCCTCCTCGCTCTCCAATAAATCCTGTTACAAAACCAAATGCATCCCAGACATTTTTATGGTGTTCTTTTTTCCCATTCTCAGTTTGGGGCTAGTGGTGACTAATCCTCAGTGAAGGCCATGGGACACGAGTATTCAGGAGGATCTGAATCAATGTTTTGGAAGGAAAAAAAACCCAAACATTGGGCAACATGGTGTGTATCTTGGCTGCCTCTAGATTTCACCTGACCCTTGGAGCGCTAGAGCTGCTCTCATCCGGAATGCTGACAGTTGCTGTAGAAATGATGTGCCGTAGGGCTGACCTTTTCCTGAACCTCAGTAAAAAAGTGTTTACTGAAGCTCTGAGAGTCCTCTGCCGCTTCATTCCAGAAATCACTCAAGACTACGATGAAGGACTTTCAGTTCTCCCAGGATCCTCCTAGAAGTACCTCACACCATCCCTTGCTGCCCTTGGTTTGTGATGCTTTAGATCAGCGTTCCACAGAACTGCAGCAGATTCGTAATACTTTGTGTTTAGAGAAAAACTGCCCTGTTTGAGGATAACATTTTTTTTCTCAGTGAATTTACCGGGCAAAAACCTTTGTCTCCTGCCTTCTTCCCTTCGTACCTATCCCCTTCTCTAAATTCACTGCTGCAATCGGTGTTACTTTTCCTCACGAGCAGCAATCAGAGGTTCTTAGGTTCCAGTTCTTAGGACTGGATTCACCTCAGGGGACAGTCACATTCTCCGAACTCCCCTGTAAGCAGAACACAAGTGCTTTCAAAGGGCAATTAACTGTCATTACCTTGTCACCCCTCTCGTAGTGCGGTAACACTGGAGAGAGGCCCATCTCTCTGTTGATCATATAAATCAAGGTAATAGTTGAAAATAGATCTGTAGCTTTTAAGCAGTTGCTCCACAAAATGTTACCATTGTGTCTTTGATGTGGATCTCATCAAATAAACCCAGTAATACATGTCACGAGAGCAGGCCCAGCTAGTTAAAGGAAATGCATCCAAAGGAGCACGGGTTAAAACCTAGAATATAACTATTTCAGAGGTTCTTTTATCTGAAATTTTTAAAAAGTAGGTACTGGTGATCTGAAGTTAAAATCTCACAAAGTTTATTGTTGGTTTAATGAACACAGATGCTGAGCAGCCTGAAATCACTTTTGGTCGGCTATTGTTGCCACCTTTCCTAGACCATCTCGTTTCTTCCACATCTCATTCATTGGCAATTCCAGCCTCTATGGAACTTCATTCTCTGCTATTCCAAAGCTACTCCAAGTGTGATATAATTTGTGGAGAATAATTTAATAAAAGCATCATTTTAATCAGCTAAAAATTTATATATTCAGATTTCTTGAAAAAATTGTTTTTCATCAGAAAAGACAACATTTCTGGGCCACTAACCCAAAGTTTTCTTGTAAAA